ACTGTAAATGCCGGATTTTTAAAAACAAATAGGCCTACCGGAAAGCAAAAATTTTAAATCTGACATTTTCCGGAACAGGATACAGCAAGATCAAATTAAGTACTGGTCATAATACTCACATACAAATGTTTCATGTTAGCAACAGTGTGTTTTGCTGCAGCAGCGCCGATGGAAGCGGTTCACTGACTGCGCAGCACAGCCACATGCGCCACAGTTACGTTTGGGATAATTTTATTTTAAATGCCATAATGTCAGTTGAAAACATTGCAATAGTGTTTTAAAATACAATAACGAGCACCACGAAACCATTTAAAGAGGCGCGTTCAGCGGTCTCCGTGGCGGGATAGGAAACAGTCAACAAAGTAAAATGATCTCAAACGTACGGCACGCTCTTTTTATTTTATCAAATGATCATAATCACATCTATTCATTTTACAATCCTGCTACTAGCATTTTATTCCGACTAAAACCCCTTTAATTCGGGTGAGAAAGCGGTTTTTTTTTTGAGTGGCTTGCGTGCTGCTGCAATAGACGCATTTTGCGACATTAAAGTTAACGATTAATCGACTGAATTATTTGTTTTCCCTCCAGCCCATTTTAATTTGCCAAAGCAGTGATAATTTTGTTTTTTATCACTATTTTCCACTATCTCTCTGACCCTTAAAATTAAACAGGGCATGCTGTGCTGTTGTGCCTTTAGGTCCTCTATGTAAATGCCCTCTTTGCATGTGAAATGAGTAACAACACTGACTCACGAGCTACAGCTTTGCTGTCAAACTCAATATAATTTGTGCTGCCCAGTCTTTCACCAAAGCCTGCATTACATTATGACAGGATCACAAAACAATTTGCACTGAAATTTGCTGCTGAAAAGAACAGGATTGTAGTAGGATTGTTATGCTGCTGAAAAAAATTGGATATTGTTAGTTCTTCTGGTGTCTAGAAGAAGGGTCTGTGCCTGAGACCCCCTTAGTAGTTATCCTACTTCATCCTTACCTCACGGTGACTGGGCAAACATATTGTTTTAAACTGAAATTATGAAATTTTTCATTTTGACCCCTTTAAATGCAGTTAAACGTCAGTATAAGATTAGAGAAGCTGGCCATCTTGCTGTGAATTTCAGACAGAGCTGAATGTGGATCATACCGTATCCAGTGAGAGTGTTTGTAGCCATGATCTTGCAGAACTGTCTTCTGCAGTCATCCATCCAGCTAGCATCTCTCTCTGTTTCTTTAGACGAGGCCAAGAAAGCACTGATCTCTGACTCTGAGAAGAAACGGGCACAGTGTTCATTTTTTAACAGTCAAGATGATTGTCTTTTGGCAAAAATATTCTACAAATTTAGTCAATATTCATCATGTTTTTCTGAATGAGAAAATTAATTCTCATTAATTTTGGGCCATTTTACACATTTTTGATATATATTTTTTTTAATCTTTTGGTAGACAATATAAAAAAGACAGAAAAATATCAAACTGTAACAGATAGAACTTCAACCACACTTTCAAATATAAAAAAAATCTCATTTTTTTTTTTTAGCCATCTTAAACTACTAATGTATGTAATGTATCTAAAGTCAACATTTTGGCATATTCTGTTGAACTGATATTTAATGTGTTGTAGGAAAATATACTGTAAAGATTTCACATACTATACCTTGTATAAAATATATACTGCAAAAAAAAACATTACAGTTTTTTAAAGGAACCGAAAGGTGCATTAAATTGATGAAAAGTGACATTAAAGACATTTATAATGTTATAAAAGAGAAAAGATTCATATTTCATATAAATGCCGTTCTTTTGAACTTTCTATTCAAAGCTTCCTAAAAAAAATGGATCATGATTTCCACAAAAATGTTAAGCAACTGTTTTCAACATTGACAACAACAAGAAACAGCAAATTTGAGCAGCAAATCAGCATATTAGAATGATTTCTGAAGGATCATGTGACACTGAAGACTGGACTGCTGAAAATTTAGCTTTCCCATCACAGAAATAAATCTCACAATAATTACTGTTTTTACTGTATTTATGATCAAATAAATGCAGCCTTCATAAGCTTGAGACTTTCAAAAACATCAAAAAAATCAGTAGAGTTCAGTAAAAACTATAGTGTATTTTAAGTTATTTAAAAAAAAAAAAAAGTTCTTTAATGTTTGCGGGGGAAAAAATTGTATCACTAGTACCAAATGACAGCTTACTTAGGGAATTTAGTCTGACCTCCTAATGTAAATTTTTTTCTAAGTGTCCCCTTTCACTGTGCCAAAACACAACTGTCACTTATGCATCTACGGCCTTGTTTACACATCTCTTTATATTACAACAGAGGCTTTATCTGCAAAGCTCTTTTTAGAAGCATAATATTTGTTTTTCGAGACATTTGAAATACAATCCACATAAGCAACTGCCAAAACAGCAGTAAACCCCACCATGGAGATTATGTTGATATATGAAGCCATTTCTGATTTGTAAACAAATGCAAAACATGGGATTGTAGATAAGGCATCTAAAACTAGAATATTGACTGGGGAAATGTCAATGTCAGCAAAATTATGCAAAAGCATCCTGTATTCAATAACAGACTAAATCACACTTCATACAACTCTTCCTAACTGAATATCCAGTATAAAACTGCTTTTACACTGTAAAAAAAAAAAAAAGAAAAAAAAAAAGTGTGCTGCAACCAAATTATATCCAGTGACACTTCACTTCCATGGTACTGTATCTACAACATGACCAACTCAACACTGTTTATTGTACTACACATACAACTGATAAGGAAGGAAAAAGGAGATGCACTCACTTTCTGCAGGGCTCTGGGAGGAAGTCTTCTCTCAGATGGACCACCAACTGTACCGATTCGAACTAGGATATGGTTTCTTTCCACAGACAGTCCATCGATGATGAATTCACTGAGGACGATGAAGCAAGTATAAACAAACAATATACAGAATCAATATATACTGCATCTACAGTATGCTCATATTGCACATTCAGCCTGTCTACGCCTACAGTTTTCTTTTTTTTTTTAATCTATTACTTTTGGAAAGTGACTGTTGGTTGACTCCGAATTAGTGTGTCGTGTTGAACTATATTCAAGGGAACACAGGAAAATGAGAGATGGTCACTCACCCTTCACCTGTGGGCGGCTCTGTGACATTGTCCCTCTGACCCTGCAGCAGTAACTCAGAGAGGTTATACTGAGACTCCAGCAGAAGAAAAGAATCCAGGTTACAGCACAGCACGCTCAAGAGCCTAGTGTTTACACAGGAAAACAAATAACAAGCAAAACTAATTTAATTTTAGATAGCTGAAAAGTGAAAAATGTTGGTTTACAATCTCTACCCCAAAACCTTTAGCAATCCATCATAATTACATTAGCAATTCTGATACCATAAGGATACATAAATACATACATATTTTTGTGTTCCTTTTTACTACTACTACTACTGTTATTATTACTTTCTTAAAGCTTCACATAATATATATATATATATATATATATATATA